TAGATTTAAAAGAAAAAAAAGAAAGAATTAATTATAAGTGACTAACCCTAATTCTATTGTTTTTTAAGTTTATTGTGAAAAAGATTACATTAACCTAAATTAAACCCTAATTTTTATTTATGTACATTTAATTATAAAAATAAATAAAATAATATTATGATAAAAAAGAAATAAAAAAAGGTATAAAAATTATCAATTAACCTAATTCTAATTTTTTTGGATTTTTATTATGAAAAAGAATCAAAATTGCAAAACATCCTAATTAAAACTAAATTCAATACGTATTAATTTATTTACAAGAAAATAATTATAATAAAATAAATACTATTTTTTGGTCTTTTCTGAATTTTTGTGATATTTTTATATTTTGTAGAAAAATAATCAATTAATTAAAACAAATAAAAATAGATAATATAATAATTAAAAAGAATAAAATATGAAAAGAAAAGCAAACCAGGGGGGGTAGCCCCAAAATTGGAGGTAAGGTCTTAGCACTTCAGGCCCAATAATATTCAGAATTTGTTGACTTTCTGGATCATGTATGATGCGTTTGACCAGGTGTAGCGTATTCTTTGATTCTTGGTCATTGATTTGCTTTTGTAGGACGCGTGGCTAATGGGATACTGATGGAGTATGGTGGTCCTCATCAAGCGCGCTGCATAAGAATTATTCATGAAAAATAACATGGAAATTGCATAGACCTGGGGTTCGAACCCAGGTCTTGGACGTTAATGCCTTGGTGATTTGCCAACTGAGCCATGAAGCACATGTTATTATATTATAAGAAACAAATAATAAAAAAGAAACAAGTGCGTTAGTGGCTTTCTGGCGCGAGAATTCAAATGCGCCTATCACGTTTTGACACGGAGTCGTCTTCCTCACTTTGCCTGAAACACAAACTCAAAGGCAACGGTTTCTGTGCGTTGTTTTAGAGGGCCTATAAGAAAATAGCGATTAGCCCCTCGACGCTCATAAATTGAGCGCGAGGGTGCCATCTTCTTCGTCTCAACCTGCTTAAGCTAATGGCACTAGTCTGGAAGCGTAATTTTTCCTTGGGCGAAAAGCCCTAATTCCAGAAACCTGCAACCCTAAATCTCGTTCATGGCCAAATCACATATATTGCTCAAAAACGAAATTAATTGGTATGGTTAGCATCAGAACATTATAAGGAACAAGAATCAACAAACAAAATGTTATGAGGATGCATAAATTATGCTATACGATTTCAAAAATTTTGTGATACAGCTTGAACATTATCTACCAATTCTTGGAGTGTTAATGGGTGTTTCTAATTGGAATTCGTTCAGTAAGCCTTCAGGAAACTGTTGGAATAAGATTTGCACTTTGAATCGCCTCCTAAAGCTGATTTCAGTTTTTACTTTTTGGAGAAATTTTGCAAGTTTGTAATGGGAGCTGCTGCGCAATATCCAGTGTTTTTGCATTAGGGTTCTGTTCTAGTACTTGTATGGAACGATTTAGGTCAAAAAAATTGAATAAAATCCATGGCCATAATGGTTTTTGAATATTTGATTTCAATGATCTTTTCATATCTTTTTTTTTCATGGTTTTTGGTTCAATCATGCTCAAATCTCATCAAAACTTGCCTAATTGGGATAAGCACGTGATATTGAGAATAAACATGCATGAAAAGATTTTTTTAGGTCAAGTTTGATATTTTTCATGTATTTAATTAATTTAAATGAATTAATATTAATATAAATTCAAATAAATAATTAAAAAATGAGAAAATACTTCCCTTTGGGCCTAATGGTCGTGCATAGGCTTGGCATGAAGAAACTTGGAAGAAAAATGGGCCCAATAGCAAATTTAGGCCTTTTGAAGTAATGTTGACTTTCAAAGATTTCCAAAACTTTCCCAACTTCCACAAGGCATAACTTGCTCAATTTTTAAGCTTTTCACATGTTCTTGGACATTTTGGAAAGGTCTTTGAGTCCTCTAACCAATGCCTTTGGTCCCATGTCATTTTGATTTACCAATCTCAAGTTATGGCCTTTGACTTAAAGTCCCTTTTTGTTGACTTTTGAAAATGACCTATAATGTTGAAATTGATAACTTTTTGTGAGAGCATTTCTTGGACTTGGAATATGAAGATGAGTTGTAGGAAATGTCTTTCTCTTCAAAATGAGCTTTGGATGGAATTTTTCTGATAATCCATGTGAAAGTTATGCCCTGGTCAATTTCAGTTGACTTTTTCAACTGTCCAAATATAGCAACTTTTGCATCTTTGATGATTTCTGAGCCAAATTTTGAGAATCATGATCAAGCATTGATCAAATGATGTTTGTGGATTCAAAATGATATGTTGACCAAAAATTTGAACTTTTGACTGTCAAATGACCATTTTGCCCCTACAGTTGACTGTAGTGCAATTTAGGGTTTTGACTGTGCAATTTTGAGCTGAATGCCTTGAAACTTGATATGAGGATGCTTGACCATCTTTGTAAGCATATGAGACTTAATTGGGCCTTTGAAAACTTCATTTCTTTGATCAGAATCCAAACCCTAGTTTTGACTGCATAGGGGACCTTTGCACTGCACAACCCTTGGGGAATTTTGTGACTTTGACTTGACAAATCTTGAAGAATATGGGAGGGAAAATTTTGGGGTACAACAGAAGGTGAACCACAATGAGAAACATACTTGCCCCATTAGCATGCATATAACGGAGCAACCAGCCCCCTTCAACATCTCTCATAATGTGTTCTACGCTGTTGAAAGCTAGATCCACATGAGGTGTGTAATGCATAGCTAAAAAAACGCCAGTCACTATCTGAATTACTAAACAAATACCAGCTAACGAACCGAAGCCCCACCAATAACTAAGATTGCTCGGGGTTGGATAATCTATCAAATGTTGATTAAGTGTGGAGGATATAGGTTATTTTAGAAGAGATAATCGTTGGTTCCTTATAGTCATTTTTTTCTCTTTCCTATCGTGACAACTCAGGTTCCCCCACCTTTTTTTCGTTCTGGGGCCCTACTTAAAAAGAATAAATACAACATTTTTTATAGTACCTTTTCTTTCTTCCACCTCCGAAGGATGGAGGGGGTATACAGCGAAAGAAGCAAGCGTCGAAGGGGTCATCCTGGGTTACTTAAGAGTCGGAAGACTGCTCGGTGACCGAATCTGAGGGGTTTTTACCGCTTTATCTTCTCCCCAGCACTCTCGGACTGATCATCTTACTGCAACAAAGCAAGCTTAGGAATGAATCTAATGGAAATTTAGGTCTCTGTCCGCTTGGAAGATTTTTCTTTCCTCTTCGGTGAAAGAGGGCAAAGGTGTGTGGGAGAAATCATTCTAAAAGGAGATAATATTTCGTCCACCAAGCGGGACAGAGTGCGACCCCTAAGCAATTGGAGGTTCTCGTCCAGGGTCCATATCATCTTAAAACTTTTCCTGTTCGATTAACATAGCTAAATTTGATTTGAATAGGATGTCAGGAAAAGTAAAGTAAGTAAGTCCCCCTTTTGCCTTGAAATAAATTGGTTTCGCTGCGCCCTGAATCAATCAAAAAGCTTTTTTTTTAATTAATCCCATTTTTTTGGGGCGAGGGTCTTTCATTAAAGGGGGGAAAATAGGGGTGGGGCCGCCTTGCGCAGCTTTAGAAAGGAGACAATTTCATAAAGTAACTCTCTCCAACCTTTTCTATCTATCCTTAGAAGTTGGGCGAGATAAAGTCAATATGATATTTGCGTTGGTTTTTCCAACGAAACTAAGCACTTTTTTTTTCTTTATCATTCGGAAGGCTCAGTCCCACACTCTGACTTCAATGATGGGAACAACCCCCGCACTCCGGCGCTCCAATGAACAACAGTTCTCCGCCTTACTTTCTTTAGAATAGTGGTCGATCCCTCGGGAGTGAAATTCGTAACTTAATGTTATGTTCATGTTCACGTGGTGATATTATATCCAAGAGTACTACCATGTACGTAGTCTATGTCTGGGGAGCATACTTGACAGGAGATGGACACAGGCGGTAGATAGGTCCCCCACTTTGATTCCTGCCCCGTTAGCACCTCCGATCCGAGATAAGGGATTACTCCGTTAGGTCTTTTCGGTCCGGAGCCGGCCGGTAATGGACCTACTTACCAAGCCTTGCTTGTGGACCAGCTGTGGAGCTAACCCTTGTTTTATGGGTTTGGCGGTTGCTACCAAGACGATTTCTTTATGCCCATCAAAGGACCTCGAGATGCTAATCCACGAAAAACGATACGAGAAATTCGAAATAACTCATATACGGAACGAGGGTGACCCGTGGAAATACATCGGTTTCTTACTCGTGCAAAGGAACTATTTCTTGGTAACTTGGACAACTTATAACGAAGTTTGTCCCGCATATCACTAGGAAGATCGGAATCTTTACAAAAGGCTTTATAAAGCTTTCGTCTCAATTCATATTTTGTCGCGAGCAATCTGCGTTTGTGATCTCGTATATTTCGCTTCTCCGACATCTCTTACTGAGTTTCTCCCTCATCTTTTTGCAAAAAGCCGCTCCACGGTGGTAAAGTCTCATCTTATCCTCTTTCTGAGTCATAGCTTTTCCTAGAAATCCTCCTCTTCCTGTTCTATTGATCAAAAATATCCAGCAGCAGCAAGATAGCGCCGGTTTATAATTCGCGAGAGATTTAAGTACGCTAAGTGAAACGGTCGATTTGCCTATTTTCTTTTTATTTTCTGCCTTGTTATCAAAAAGGGAGTTGGGTAAAGCAAACTCCCTCCTTGGACGAGCACGAGGCTTAGTCAAGTAGAACCGGGTTGCGCTGCTTGATGCTCCGATCGAAAACAAATCAGTGGGGCCATGCCGGTACGAGTGAATATGCGTTAAAAAGGTAAATCCCTCCCCTACGACACCAAAAAAAACCGGGCCGAACTTCTAACAGCCCGCCCGCTTCCATAGAACAATATCGTGGCAACGTAGACCTAAGTGGTCATATATATTGGATCTTGGGGAACCATCACAAGTGCGGTCGGCCTATATTTAAACGAGAATGCCGTGTCGTCCAGCGGAGCCTAGAAGAAGGTGACTCGCGCAGACAGCTGACTCCTTCTTTTCAATAGAAAGGAATAGCCAAACCAACCCAACTGGCTGGTCAATCTCAGAGATCTTATCGGCCGGCAAACCTGAGACGGACGACCACGGTCCCGACCTTATCAGCACCGGAGGTGTACTAATCAATGAACCCATCCCTGAAACCTACTTTCTTTTCTGACAAAATCCACCAAGCCTAACCGGTCACGACATGTTGTTGATATTGATTGAGTTTGAGGGACTTTCGCTGACAAAATCCATCAATAAACCTAGACCCCGGCTACTTTCGTAACCAAAGCGTCAAGACAACAGCCAAAGGTCACCTTTGGATTCTTAAGTAGGGGGCAAAGAGGAGCACGTAGGAATGCCACTACATAAGCCACTGGTGGCTGAGAGAAAGCGAGCAGCACCTTGTATAGGTTGGGCGGAGCTTGAAGAAGCGAGCCCCTATCAGAGAAAGCCATTGCGCGCTAGCCTAGCTAGCTAGCGTTTTTCAGCTGGCTGTTATGTTAGTTGTAGCGCGCCTTCCCTCCTTCTCTCACTTCGGAAAGATTTCGCAGTATTTTCTTATGATGACCTGGTCGAGAGAGTACGATACATCGGTGTAAAAGATGGAGTGGGATCTGTGAGGTTGGTTATAGTAAGGCCTGGCCGGAAAGTATTCTTGCCTCTATCATTGAAGGAAAGGTTGGTCAACAATTTGGAGAGTTTGCTTTTATTTCATCTTTCTAAGAGCAGTCTGTTTGATCAAATCAGGGATCAGATCGCTCCTGGTGTTCGAACTAGTCATTAATGGTCGGCTTCATTGGTATCCTTTCGGTATGCGTTGCGAACACTTTCATTTTTAGCGTCTCATCTTATCTAGAGAAGCGAAACTCGAACGGATAGAGCAGATGGTCCAACTACATAACTTTTTCTTTTCATTACTTCTATGGTCGTGCCTCGTGGCACGGCAGCACCCTTACTATTGAAATGGTTCGTCAGTAGAGATGTTCCCACAGGTGCCCCTTTTTCCAATGGGACTCTAATTCCTATTCTTATCCCTTCATTCCCTCTTTTGGTCTATCTACATTCCAGGAAATTCATACGCTCCATGGACGGAGAAAAAAGTGGAGTCTTGGTCAGAGCAAGCCGCCCTATTCTATTACCAGACATAATTGGGAGAAGCTCATCCGAAACTAGAGCTGGAAACGCCTCATTTCGTTTCGTTCCCGTTCTTCATTTCCTTCTTATCGAATCCAAGGGGGACTTCTCATATTTCGAATCTTTCTGCGGTGTGCTCTGTTTACTATTCTTTCGTACTCTCTTCTCTTTACCACGCGATAGGTCAGCAAAGCGTGAGCGGGCGCGGATAAGGATACACCAAAGACTTCGTCCTAACCCTAACGGGAATGAGCAACAACGAAATTATAGGATGGGGTGCTCCGGGCACCCCCATTTAGAAAGAAGGGTCAAAGGTTTTGGGCCTGTAGCTTTCCCCGTCCCCCCTTCGTCGGGTGGTGCTTGTGTGGGGGGTGTGCCACCTGAACCTGAAATCGGGCTTGAAGCTCTCGCCTTACCAACGAGCCGACAGCTGATGGCTGTTGGTCACGACTACCACCAAAAAGCTCCAATGAAGATGAATATTTCATATTTTGGAGTGTGCATCTGTATGTTGGGTGTTCTTCTGTCGTGCGACCCGGCGGCTTATGTGCGACATGTGGCCCACGCCTCCTATTTGTTCGGGGCGGGCGGCGTGAACTCTGACTCGATCCGGGTATTCAATCCCGCCGCTGAGATGCTCAGTTGACTCCTTAACCTTGATAGGAAGATGGCTTATTCAATAATTCGTGCATAAGGGTAAGGAACTTTGGATGAACTAATGCGAATGGGTGTAAGCCTCGCAGCTCGGAAACACCCAGTGCTGACCACACTGAGAGAGACGAAAGCGCAGGTAATTCCAGTTGGCGAATAGCGTTAAGCATCCCTAGCGGTACGAAAAGAGAGGTCGTGATGATATCATCTACGTCCGTACCGCTCCTCGCGTAGTAGATCCCGCATCCAACCAAGTCTTTGACAAGGGAACGGGAAAATTACCACTACCGCTGGAAGGCCAGCCGGGCCGTGAGCGTCGTGGGAACGGGCTTCCCAAAAAGCCAGCCCCGGGCCGGGGTCGGCATAGAATGAAGGGGACGGCCCTAATGTTGTGTTGGCAAAGCCAACTTATTGGGTTGCGGGCGGAGAAGAGCGGACGTGGGGACTCAGACCGGGGCGCAGCGTAACTAAGAGAGCCATTCCATTTAGGGCGAGACAGAGTGGGCGGGCACGAGTGGTCTGGTGTCCGAGCCAATTGGTCAGACGACGACTACTTCACTTATTAGATTAGTATCCGCCGCCTATCCCGAAAAAAAAGGGATGAAATAGAAAGAACGCGAAGCGCTAGTGCTATAGTATATAAATGGATTTTGGGGGGGATTTGCTTCTTCACAAGCTTATCCCCGCCCCGGCCGGCAGCTGCTGGGTCTCCCCATCTCTCCTAAACTTCCCCTGGTCTTCGGCCCGAGCTGTATGAGGCAGAAACTCGCCCCACGTACGGTTCGGAGGCCGAGCCCCACCCCAGCAGTAATGGTGTGGCTTAGGTCAACTAACACAAAGAAGATACAGTTCACTCAACGATTGCCTTTGGGTTCCGAACTCCATATGGGGAAGGAGCGTTGTTGTTTCCGAGGTCTCGATCATTTACATGGACCCACTTCTCATTCCATTTGTGGGAATTTTTTGATCTATAAACCGTCCCTAACGAACGATTGCCTCATGTTTGAGCATGATGAATCACTTCGTGCCGACCTGTTGCCAATAAACTTTCCGGCCTCATATGAGAATGGAAAACTGGATAATTTTCTGCATCGGTGGATGAAGAATAGTGAAAATAATAATTTATGGTTGACCATGTTCCCAGAAAAAAGATACTTTAGAGAAACAACGAGCACGACTGAAGTGGATATACATACAAATCCATTTACGGATAGATATGCTTCGATTGGAACTGGAAGTTCCAGAACAGGCGGCTGGTATACCACCATAATTAAACTGCCTTTTATTTTTTTATTCGGATAGGATTTATGTTGGCTTCGTCGGGAGGCTCGCGTAGTTTGTTACGTCAGCTCCAAAAGGATAAGTTGCGTTGGAATCGATAAAGTTCCGTGGAATTCTTAATTGCATTAAAAAAATCAAAGGAGTCTTCAACCCTCTCAATCAATAGAGGTTAGATCGGACTAAGGAGAGAGACGGTTGAGTACGGAAGCGAAAGCGGAGATATAGGCTAGCTAAATGCCCTGTGATAATACTGACATGAGTCAGGATAAATCCGAATGACTAGTGGCCATAACTCATTAAGCAATCTTAACCTTTTTCGCTTAGCCTTTCCTCTTTCTACCGTTACGAGATGCAGTATCCTCTAACGTCTTTGCTTGGAATTCCGGTGTTCAGCCCGCAGCTGAAGCAGAGAACCGCACATCTTCCCTCGAGCAAGGAGAGGGTCTCGGAGCACATAGAGGAGCAGTCCGTTTATAAGGACTTTCTGAGGGATCACTTTCAGCTGGATCGAGCTCTCATGCTGATCGGAGGAATGCCAATCTCTCTTTCTTTTCTGAGAAAGCACTATTTTTCTCTTTGTTGCAAAGTCGTCTTATGATTCCGAATTCCCTTCTTGAAGGTTGCGTCATCAGAGAAGGTCCTTGTTCTGTTCTGGCAGTCAGAGTGATGGCTCCTCATCCTCGACAGAGCAATGTTAGGTTTCTGAGACAATTGAAGAAGAACCCCAAGTCTCAGGTGATGTAGATAAGAAGTCCAAAGATAGAAGGTGATCCTAATTACATTGAACCAATGGTTATAGTTAGACTTATGGAGAAGGCTATTATGCTTCTTCACTGCCATCCAGATGGATATGCTAAAGCAAAGGGTGCAGGAACATCAGATACAAAGGTAGAGACTATAAGTAAAGAATCGGATAGGGTAAAAAAGGGAGTAATTCCTAGTCAAAGAAACAAAAATGAAGAATAAAAGCATGTAGTTGGGAATGCCACTGAGGGCTAATCCAGAGTGAAAAAGGCGATGGCGCTTGCCGTAGAAAGAGATTAGACCGGTTTGGTACTCCAACTACCAATGAAAAAAAGTTTTCAATACAAATCCGTGAGTTGAGTCTAGTCATGCTGCTTCAAAAGAATCCTCTGGGTCTTTTCTTCCTATCTGGTTCTCTGGAACCAACCCCTATGTTCATAAGCACACTGAGCCTTTCAATAATATCCATCCAATAAAGAAAGATTTAAAGAAAGTTTTAGACATAATTAACTACACTTACTAGTCGTTGGGCTTTTCCAGCCAGGCAAGCTCGGGAAAATAGGATTCATTACTTAACTCCTTAGAGTGAAGCGCGTTTATAATGTAAGTAAGCAAAGACTCTTTATTACGGTCTCCGGAGAAAGGTCTGAGAAGGATCACCCCTGCGCGGGGACCTAAGCCCGGAATTCCGGAAGATGAAGACTTTATCGATTCCTACATCTTCCCCCCAACCACAGTCGCTAGTAGATATTATGGGCCTTTTAATTCCTTGCTTATGGATGGGAACATGCCTTCTGTTAACCTCCCCTCCGGAACTTCTTCAACCAATTAGTAAATCCGCCTTTCCTTTCACTCTGCCTCTTTTTCTGGGTTGGGACTTGCGATTGATTCGCCGAGCGGGAGTGACATGACTTTTGCAGCAAGGGTTCATGGAGAGATTGAGCTTTCCTAAATATAACTATAGAGAGCCAATCTTAAACCTATCTTTCTACTTTATTGCCTCTAAACTGGGTCGATAAAGCGTTTATCCTAGCTCATCACTGCTTCAGTTAGCTCATCCTATCCTATACCACCAGCCAAGCATAGATAAAAGATATACGCGCTTCTCCTTCATAAAAGAGCGAAAAGGCCATTTCTAATTCTGCTTAAGCGGATTAAGAAGGAAATTAAGCCCTTGGCAGAAGGGGTACAGGTAGTACGCGTACTTGGTGGCAGAAGACAGATGAAAAGAAAGGGCCAGATCGAAAGTTCCCCAGGACAAACCTGTTAGGAAATGCCCTAACCCCTGATGAAAGAGCTTTTCCTAGCGGCTTTTATTAGAGACAGGAGGGGGTGAACCCCAAAGCATTCTCCAAAACCAAGACCGCCGCTCTGAATCGAAAGAGGAGACAGACAAACTCTATTCGGAAAGTATTCCCGGAGAAAGAGAAGAACCTTGTATGTATACTACGATATACGTGCATACTCCAATGCAGCCTTCCAGGCCTGCGAGAATAAGTGATCGGACTAGGATAAGGTTGTTAGGCTGAGGTCAAGTAATTCCTGCTACTTAGTCGGCAGTTTGACCAACTGCCTAAATAAATGCAATTGGCCCTGGCTATATGCTTAACACTTAGCAATCGTACAATGCATACTCTCTATCCCGGAAGGAGAAGTCGGTAATTGATAACCTAAGCCGCTACTCTCGCCCTTAATGTACTACTAATCGCTCACTCGCTGACCCAACTCTGGCACGCTTGCTTCCAGTCGTATGTAGCAGGTTAAGGGTGCTAATAACTCAACCAAACAATAAACTAACAAAGACTATGAAACTATGGCTACACAGCACAAGTACTCAATCATTGAACTAGGCCATAGGGATTCATTCAATGCTTAAAGTGAGAGCTAAGGGTTGAGTTCAACTAGTCAGTATTGGGTTAATAGGGTAGATAGCTTGGATCTTTTTTTATCCTGTTAGGAGAGGGTGAATGCACATAGATAGGATGCACGCTCAGAGTGTACTGCCGTCCGAGGAAAAGATGCGATACAAAAGAGAATTCAAGGTGTACTGGAAGCAAAGACTGCTAGGCGAACAAAGAAATGAATTGACGAGATCCCAAAGGAACCATCTGAATTCCAACCATTTGTCTAACCGTTGGAAATAGGCAAGCTAGCTCTTCTTCGCTATCTGAACTAGCGCCCTCTTCTCTCATCAATTCAGAAATATTATCTTTCGATTCCCTACTCTAGACCTTCTGAAAAGAAGAAAGAACGTATGTAACAAAGTGAGTCGGACCCCTCCTAGTCTATGCCTAGGATTCCAGAAAGGAATGAGAATCCATACCATATCCCGATACGCACAGACCGCCCACCCTATGATTCCAATTGAGGCTCTGCAAGACCTTACCTTTTTGGTTTCACTGCCATTACTCACGATTTGATGGCACCGCTTCCCTCTATATAACATATTTTCACTATCTTGTGCAATCATAAAATCTGCCTATTTTCAAGCATTATCGACTCGCTATTCCTCGTCTTTAAATGTGCAAATATCAATGTACGAAGAGGTCTACCACCTCTTGTCCTAACACTAGTTCATCTCGGTATGATGATGGGTAGTCACAACAGCAAACGAAGAATGAAGCCTTTTGAGACTAAAAGCCCACTGAGAAAGAGGTATTGTCATCAAGCTAGTCTTTAACACCTATGAAGTTGTCTTGAATGAGTCCTCCTTTGGCCGGTTCAAGTGCTTTCCTTTTTTTTAATAATAGGCAGGCGCAGGAAAATATCAGTCGCATTCACCGGGTGCATACCTTATCTTAGGTCTCGAGCTTCAATTGGCTTCAAACCCGCTTTTCTCGCGTGGCCCTCCGGCAAAAAGAAAAGAAGCTTCAATCTGTCCAATTCCGCCCGAGAAGGAGTGCCGGTTTTGGATTCTTTTTTTGCCCGCGCGTAGTTCCTTCCTGCCCATGCATTCCTTCTGTCTGGGTATAGGGTTTGGGGGGAAGAAATAATTGGGATTGGAAGGGAGTGCTCTTTATATCATTGATTAGTGCCACTATTTTGATCCTGTTTAACCCCAGTTTGAAACTCTATTTAGGAAATGGCGTATGTGATCGGTGGATCTGGAACTGACTGTTTAACGCTGGTTCACGGAATGTCGCGGAAGCAAGAGTCGCCACCGTCTTTTATTTTCTCCAATTGGAAAGGACAAAAGCACAGAAAAATTCCTTAAAGAGATTGCTCTCGGTTCGGGAGGTAGGTTATAGAAAGGGAAGGTGTTAGCACCCTTTCTATCCATGGTTATCCATGGGCTCTTAGATACTTGCTCATTTGTGTTTTCAAAAATGGTTTGTTTGCTTTTCAACTGTGGGTTTTAAAAAGTTTCTTTGAAAATTTCAGTTCGACTCTTGTATCAGTCCTCAAGAGTGTTTGAAAAATTGCTTTCGAAAGCTTTTTGAAAAGGTGTCGGTGTGAAAAGTATTTTGAATTTTGTTTGAAATTTGGAGCAAGTATCTAGAGTCGTCTACCTACCCTAAGGAATTCGTCTGTGTAAATGTCCTTAAAGTAGTGCCATCCCACCATTGAGAGGTAGGTAGCACCACCGTTGGAGGTGTTCGGGTCAATTCGAAGGTTCGGGACATGGTGATCACCAGAGCAATGGGAAGATACCTTAGAAGCTACCCTCATGCCAGGTTCCCGGATCATGAGGACTTACTAAGACATCCTCTACTCGACGATCACCTTTCGAGGCAAGGCAACAGTGAGGCGTACCCTAGGGGTGGTGTGTGATTTTGTGTGTTGTTTTCATTTATTTTTGTCTTTTGTCATGTTATTGGTGATCTAACGTTTGTTTTTATTTTGGTCCATACATTCTTTCATGCCATTATTTAACAGTTAAAAATTGCGAGAAGGTAAACATTCTAAGCTATTACAAAAGGCGCGGGTCCACATCGCCAAAATTTCTCGAACCCGATTTGACGGAAAAATAAAGAATTAAAAGTACGAGAAGTTAATTACAAGGCTTCGGGAGAGATACATTAATATTTACAAGAAATAAAATAAGTGCGCGAATTAAATGAGAATTAAACGAGGGCGTTGGACCCTTTTTGCAAAATTAAATTAAACGATGAATTAATTAAAATTAAAAAGAAATTGTCTTTTTGGTGTTTTTTGGTATTTTGTAATTTTAATGAAAAAGAATTAAATAAAATAAATGTTAACCCTAATTCTACAATTTTTGTTTTATTATGAAAAATGTTGAAGTTTTTAACCTAAAATTAATCCTAATTTTTATATGCAATTTAATTATAAAAATAAATATCTAATATTTAATTATTATGTAATAAAAGGAAAAGATGAAAATTAATTAAACCCTAATTCTACCATTTTTTAGATTTTTATTATGAAAAGATTATAATTAACCCTAATTTAATAACTAAATGAATTAATACAATTTATTTATGAAAATACTAAAATAAAATATTTATTATATTTTTTCTAGCTTTTTCTGATTTTTTTGTGTTTTATGTATTACTGTAAAAATTAATTGAAATAAAAAAATATAAAAAAAAAGAAAGAGATGCAAACCTAAGGGGGTCTGCCCCTGATTTGGAGGTGTATTGTTTAGCAATTTGGCCCAAGATTCTAAGGCCTCATTTGACTTTTCCTGGGAGCATGCTGGCGTGTTGACTGGGGCTCACCATAGTCTTCAACTCATGGCCTTCTGATCGTTCCCTTGGGCACGTGGAGGGTTTGATTTTTGAGGATGCATGATAGTCTTCAGCGTTGACACTGCATAGGAAGATTGATTGAAAAATAATATGGACAAAGGTGAGGACCTGGGGCTCGAACCCAGGTCATGTACGTTACCAGCACACACGTATGCCACTAAGCCATCCCAAGCGCGTTTAACCTATAATAACTAACAAACATTATAAAATAAAAAATAGTCAGTGGTTCAAAACGCGCGAAAAATTTGAATCTTCCAATCAGCGCCTTCCACCTAATCATCTTCCTCGTTGGTGTTTTCTTTTTCTGAAATACAAAAACAATAAGCAACGGTTTTCAAACGTTGCTATAGATAACATTACAGAAAATAACGATTAGCCCCTGGGGCTTCATAAATTGAGCACGATGATGCCATTGTTTTCGTCCAAACCCCCTGAATCCATTCCTGGCATCGTGGTGGTCTAATTTTACTGTATTCAAAAACCCCCAATTTGAAGGTTGAAGAACCCTAAAAAAGAAACATGGTAGATTCGTGTACGATGCCCAAAACTTCAATCAAGTTATGTAGTTAGCTTCAGAACAAAGTAATTAGTACAAATCCATGAATAAAATGCAATGATATGGTCTCAATAATAGAATACGATTATGCAAAAAGAGTGATACAGTTCACCCTCGAATTACCAATTTTTTGAGTATGGGGTTAAGTTTTTGACTGGAATCGTTTACTGGCAACCCTGGCAAGCTAATGGAATAAGTTTTGAGGCTTGAATCGACCTGCAAGTAGGTTTTCAGAATTTGAGTTTTCAAAGAAAATTTCAAGTTTGGTTTTCTATGTTCTTGCGCAGCTTAGTGGTTCTTTGCATTAGGTTTTGATTCCTTGTATAAGTATGAGTGAATTAGGTCAAAAATCTGACCAAAAGAATCCAAGATTTGATTGTTCAATATTTGATTTTCAAGCATTAGTTTTTCCAATCTTTTCATGCAATTTGATACCAAATCATGCCAAAACTTTCCAAAATGATTATGCACGAATCTTGAATGTCCAATGAGAGTGTTTTCTGCACAAAAAGATTTTATTTCATTAGTTTTGTATTTTTCATGTATTTTATTTAATTAAATGAATTATTAATAATAAAAAATTCAAATAAATAGATAAAAATGGAGAAAAACTTCCCTTTGGGCCAAATGGTCGTGTGTATGCTTTGGATGATGAATTGTGGAAGAAAAATAGGCCCATTAGCAACTTTAGGTCATTTGAACCAATGTTGACTTTTCAAAATATCCAAAAATTTCCCAACTTCCACAAGGCATAACTTGCTCAATTTTTAAGCTTTGCTCATGTTCTTGGACATTTTGGAACGGTCTTTGAGTCCTCTAACCAATGCCTTTGGTCCCATGTCATTTTTATTTACCAATCTCAAGTTATGGCCTTTGACTTAAAGTCCCTTTTTGTTGACTTTTGAAAATGACCTATAATGTTGGAATTGATAACTTTTTGTGAGAGCATTTCTTGGACTTGAAGTATGAAGATGAGTTGTAGGAAATGTCTTTCTATTCAAAATGAGCTTTGGATGGAATTTTTCTGATAATCCATGTGAAAGTTATGCCCTGGTCAATTTACAGTTGACTTTTTCAACTATCCAAATAAGGAAACTTTTGCATCTTGATGATTTTTGAGCCAAGCTTTGGGAATCATGATCAAGCATTGATCAAATGATGTTTGTGGCTTCAAAATGATATGTTGACCAAAAATTTGAACTTTTGACTGTCAAATGACCATTTTGCCCCTACAGTTGACTGTAGTGCAATTAGGGTTTTTGATTGTGCAATTTTGTGCTGAAAGTCTTGAAACTTGATATGAGGATGCTTGACCATATTTGTAGGCATGTGAGACTTGATTGGACCTTTGGAAACTTCATTTTCTTGATCAGAACACAAACCCAAATTTTGACTGCTTAAGAGGCCCTTGAACTGTGCAACCCTTGGGGAATTTTGAAGCTTTGACTTGGCAAATCTTTGAAGAATATGGGAGAGCAAATTTTGGGGTACAACAGCGTATAATAAGGTAACACCTCTTTCGTTCAGTGACTATTGTGATCCATACTTTATGGTGGTGACTTATTCTTCCCTTTATTGCACAGGTTCGGCGGAGATTAGCCCATCTGGAACATTTCTCATAACAATGTTAGGATCTAAAGACGGTTTCTAAACATATTGCTTTGGCTGTTTTAGCCTCCTTTTGGAAGATAAAAAGATATTTTTCCTGCTTCGACAAGGCTCCTCACGGGTATTTGGCCCGTAGGCAGGAAAGAAGAAGAGACTTTCCAACACAATAAGTCACAATAAAGAGAATCCGCGAGACTGCGACACTAGGGAAAGAGGGATAGCTGGGAAAAGAGGCGGAAGTCTCAGAAGAATAATTCGGAGTAGCGCATATAGTGGCTTGCTGTGTAGCTCCGCTAGACGACCAATCACCCCTTGCCCCAACCCCTCTTGAGAGGGTGGTTTGCTTCCCTTCCTCTTTTGAGGACGAGATGCCTTTGAAGTCATCCTAGAATAGCAAATCACTACCGTACCCCGACTCGTAACCACAGAAGCTACGGTTGTCAAATGTCTTTCCGTCATACCTAAAAATAGAGTAAATCTTTCCAGCCCTAGAAAAGAGGGAGTGGTCTATTTGCTTTGCTTTTAGAATTATAGAAAGCTAGCGCCTTCCATTCCAAGGGGGCCGGCCGTAAGATAGGCTAGGCGGAGTACTCGCTCTGAAGCAGGTTTTCTTCGACTGGATCAGTGTTATTTGATTTTCCATTCAGCTCATACATATGTCGATTCTTATTAATGGTTCTCCAGCGGGCTATTTAACCTGTTCGCGAGGAGTTCGACAAGGAGACCCTTTCTCTCCGTTGTTATTTTGTGTTGCAGGGGAAGATCCGATATATTGACCTTTAAGCTCGGCGGGTTCTTTGCATTTGTATCGGTCCGGGTTTTGCCTTTCCCGTCCTACTTATTGTATGCTGATGACATTCTGCTTTTCTGCGCGGCATCTATCTCTAATGCCAAGGAGATTCTTAAGATCTTGAAAGACTATGCTGAAATTTTAGGCCAGTTCCATAATCCTGACAAGACAAGTCGAAGGTCTTCTTTGGCTCTCGACTCTCTCATTGGAATCTCATTCATCGTATATAATGTTGGTTATAAAAACCAAATTACCTATCTACCACAACATCTCTCACATCAGCGTCATCACCTCTTGGTTGGGCGCTTTCTACTACTTCTTAAGTTCTCTATAACTTAAATTCTATTTCACACATGAGAGTTTATCCAATTAGATTATGATATGCCCGTACCCGCGTGGCGAAGATGCTTCGACTAAGTGCTCCAAGCTCTGCCCCGCCATAGCTCTTTCGGGAAAAGTTACTTGCGAGGTTGCCGAGGGATCAAGGTGACGCAACGTTGATAAATAAACCCCGAATTCGTACTTTGAAAGGGCCTGTATTCTATTTAAGAGAGACTACCAGCTATATATCCATTGGTGGCACCTTCACCTTTTTGAGGTCTCTCACATCATCGGACCACTGCTTTGGCATCCCCATCTGAGTGTTCAGATTCGTCCACAGGGATGGCCTTGTCATCATCATCTTTAACTGGAGATATGGACCGCGGAGCATCTTCTCGACCTGGAGGAAGATCCCGGATTGGAGCATAAGATGGAGATGCGGAAGACGCTCACAGATCGCTTCCTATATTAGACTTCCATTGCAAGTAAGAATGAGTCGTCTTTCTCGATTCCTGCTTTCATTTGCCTGGATCGTCTTTCTCCGCCGACATGGGCACATACGGATCGCCGCTACCTTCAAATTGCTTACTCTATCGCGGGTGAGGTACTATCTATCGAAAAAAGCGAATTGCTGCTTTCCGTC